GGTGGGTTCAGGTGCATAACATAGCGGGTGAGCTTGTGAGGATAAAACACAGTAAGCTAAAAGCATGGGAGAGAACTTGGGTGCCATGTCTAAAGGGTTGAGGTTCAGGAATAGGAAGAAGACATAAACAGGAGATGAGAAAGCGGTGGGTGGCCATGTTGGATCCGCCCATGATTATAACCCACCAAAACTTTTACCAAATATTTTGAACCAATACAATGTGGATTCTTACATTTGGTGTACAAAGTTTTATGCTCCGTTTGGTAGAGAGAACGAAAAGTAGAAAGGATGAAAAATATAAATGATACATTTTCCTTCATTTGTGTTTGGTTGGAGGGATGAAAAATAAAAGTAACTATTTTTTTTTTTGTTCTGGCTAAAAGTAAGAGTGACAATCGAGTCGTGTCGTGTCAGATTTGTGAAATTATTTCGGTTCTGTGTCGAATATTAATCAAGCCTAACTTAACTTATTTAACTAATTATATCGTATCGAGTTACGAGTTGACATGTTTATTTTCGTATAGAGTTCGAGTTATGTCATCGTGTTGAGTCTAAAATTTTCACCCTTAGTTAAGATGAAAAAAATATTTTTTTTTAATTTAAAATTTTTATTTTTATTATTTTATTTTATTTTTAAAATTTTTTAATATATATATATATATATTACCATTGTATTTTTATATGAAATTAATTTATACATAATATATGTATATATAAAAAGATATATAGACAAATAAGATACATTTCAACGTAAATAATTAATTTTTCATTCACTTTTCTTCCGATTTTGGAAGGATTGATTTTGGTGAGTTAGAAAAAAAGTTAATTCATCCACTTTTCCATCCTTTCTATTTTCCTTCCTTACCAAACATGATATTTTATTTATCCTTCCAACTTTTCATTCTCTCACTTTTTTATTGTACCAAACGGAACATTAGCGTATTCTTTATCGACGGTGAAATCCATCCTCCAAATAAGAAGTATAATTTGTTAATATATATATATATATAGGAGATAATACCGATGACCATAAACTTCTTGGAATTTTAATTGGAACTTTTGCCCATACATATGGACGAGTTTGACTAGTTAATGAGCGACAATTTCAGGATGTATTATAGGCCACATCCGTAGAGGTACACATCAGAGCGGGAGGAGAGAGAAAGCAAGAGCTGCTAGCTGCAGTGGAAGAAGTGGCACATGTGCATGAATCTTTCATTCTCAAGCATGCAGAAAGGTGGCTTTGGTTGGTGCAGCCCATGGGATGGAAATGGAATAGGAAGCCTCCAAGAAAACGAGAAGAAACATGGAGGAAATGAAGAAGTTTGAATCGAATTCAAGACTTGGATCGTATTGGAAATTGAAGTGTACACGCCTCTTGATAATCTTAGATAGTAGCTAGGTACCATAGTCCTAGTCCCCCCCCCGCCCTGCCCTGCCCCGCCCTCCCACAACTAAGATACTATGACCATTTTTCTCGTTCAAGGTTTCATGTTTTTTCCAGGTAAAGGAGACACAGTTTCCTGATTGAATTCAAATCAAAAGAACAAAGAACAAAGAACAAAGAACATGAACATGTGCATTTTTTATTGTACTAATTGCATTTTGGGTTGACTTTTTATTAAAAAAAAGGGGTTACCCCTTCAACCACGTTGGGAGCTGCTCGGCAGTGTCTTCATCATTAATGTTTAAATTAATACACGAGTCATATTTGTTTCCATCACAAATTTCTTTGAATAACAAACAGATCACTTCCTGGTCTTCTCTAATTAAGGGCACAACCAGAAAATTCAAAATTAGGGTACCATACCAACTACCAACCAGAAGTGGTAGATGAAATTTCCATATTCTTATAGGCCATTTAAATCGAAACTTGAAAATTGACCCCAAAAAAAAAAGGATTAAAAGGCAATTTCCAAAATTATTGTGGCTTTGCTACTATATCTGAAATTTAAACAAATAAGTTGGCACATACGCATTCAAATTTTGGTAATGTTACACGGACAATGAAAAAATGAGATCAAATGATAGGACATTGAAATAATGAGCAAAATTTAAATTTTAAATGCATAAAAATAGGACCGCGAGTACTATCACGTCAGCTCCGCATCATTTGACTCCTACGTTGGTCCATTTATTTCCTCAATCTACCATGTTCTTTCAAAATTTAAGTTCAAGAAATGGAACCACAAGTCTTTTTGAATAGCAAACTATTGAGTTGTCTGAATAATAATGTTTGTTAAGAAGGATGAAAAATAAAAATGATGAAAATATATAAGAGATGAGTTTTTATTATCAAATGAAAGAAATATGTTTTCTCTCCTTTTTTTGGTAGGAAGGATAGAAAAATATGAGGAATGACTATATTTTTAAACATTATATTATAATTTCAAATCAAAACTTGCACATTTCTCAAGAAACACTTCTAAATATCCTATTACATGTATTTTTCTTATGTATATTTTTTAGCTATTAATTTTGGCATACATATCTATATTTATTTATTTTTATAACTAATTAGAACGACCATGACTCTTTAAAAAATTTATTTGTAATAAAAAATATTTTTATACTTTTCTTTCCTTTCACTTTTCCTCCAATACTAAACTATAGAAAAATAATATTTCCAACTTTTTATCCTAAAAAGGAGAAAATATTTTTGTTTTCTCTAAGGAAGAAAAATCTATTACTCACATTTTTTTTCTAATTTTCTAACTCTCCTATTAAATTTATAAAAAGTCAAATTGCATGTGGATCCCACCATTCTTACTCATATAATACCTTGGACACCACGTGTTTTTTTTATCGAAACTTTAACTTGTTCTAATAATTTGTCCCCTTTCTCTCTCCACTTTCCCCCCGTCGGATGGATTAAAATTGGTGGACTGAGGAGACACACACCCCCTTCCCCTTTCCTTCCTTTCTTTTTTTCTTCTACAACCAAACAAAAGAAAACACCACTTTTCCTCTTATTTTCCAACTACCCTTTTTCCATTTATCCACTTTTCTTCATACCAAACAGGCTAAAGTGCTGAGAGAATGTGTAGGCAATTAATCAAATTACTAAACCAAATAATATGACTCCAAAACATAAAGACATGCCAGTAGTATCCAAAACATGACTTTCATCTAATTTTCTCAGGAGATCCATTGCTGTCCACCAATTTACAGTAGGAGGCCTTCAAACTCTACATGAGGAAAATGCATCTTGAGCATATAGTTGAAAGCTCGGAAACAAAGTCCTTCCACTTTGGCGAAGAAAAAAGGAGTTAAACCAAAGTCCTTCCACTTTGTCAAAGAAAAAAGGAGTTAAACTTGGTCCATATTATTAATTAACTAGTGTTGAGATATCAGTGTGGGAAATTCCACACCGAAAGAAAAAATAAGTAACATATGACAATCAATTGTACGTGTTTTGAAGAAGTTATTATTAAGAATTAATGAAAATAACGCACAGACAAATGGGGGGGATTACTCTGGCTCATTG